TGTCAGATGGACTGACCTTGGGGCTGTGGGAGGGAGATTTGGGTAAGCGCAGCAGTTTCCACCAACAGTGAACCAAGCTGGTTGCTCTCTAGGTTTGTTTCTATCACTCTCTGTTTCTCTGTCATGATACTCACTGGGAAATCAGAGCAACTTGTGACCTTCAGTCAGCAGTGAGGCTTGGGCTCGTGGTGTTTCCAAGAGCAGCTGTGCCTGACTTTCAAATGACTTTGAGGTGTGAATTGCAACCAGCAGCAGGCTCTTATATTTCTGGTGCACCAGGGCAGCACTTAACCCCTTGCACTGTCACTGTTATTTCTTTTTTTATTTGGCTAGAAAAAGAGTCTCCAGGCTCGTGAGCACTTTGTTGCAGACCTTGGAAAGGCGGCAGGGGATAAACTCCAAGCAAGGGGTGGAGGTGAAACCTAGCCAGGATTTCTGGTGAAAAGCTCCTTTTTCCAAGCTCATTTCACCCAGCCCAGGAGGGTTGCTGGAGGCTCCTGTGTTGGAGGGATCATCCCCAAAGGGAGGAATGACGGAGGGACCTACACGCTCTGGCTCTGTGATGATGGCAGACCCCATCCTTGCCCATGGGGACACCTGCTTTGGGGTGTCCCATGAAAGGAGGGGGGGGGGTGGGGCCCAGGTCTGTCCCTGTGCTGGCAGGGTGCCTTGAGGGACTGCCAGTGCCACTGCCACCTCCTCCCTGAGGTCCTCAGGCTGCCCAATGGCTTAGCCTCCCTGGGGGGCACTCTGGGCTCCAGGGACCCTCAACAGGTACCCTAAGCCCCAAGGGTTAAAAAAGGTGCTGAAAGAATAAAATAAAATGGAAGCAAGAGCCTGAAGGGGGGGAGCAGGGCATGCACCCCCCTGGGGGGGAGCAGTCTGGAGCTTGCGCTGCTCTGGGGGCACCTTTCCTCCTTTTTTCTCCCCCCTCCCCTTTTGCTTTCACTCCCAACAACAATAATTTGGCTATAATGCAGAGGGGGGTTTTGTGCCCCTCCGACCAGGGTGGGAGCAGGTGGCTTCTCCCCTCCTTTTCAGCCCCCCACAAGCTACTCACAGCAGCAGAGAGTGGATGTTCGGGTGGCTTGGAGGTGATCTGTGCCCGGGGGACCCGTGGGGTCCGCAGCACGGTGGCCAGCAGCCGGGAGCCCCGCTGAAAGCTCCCAGCATGGCGGTGGCAGGGCGGGCGAGCGGCTCTTCTTACTGCAGCTGGGCTGCAGCTGCCCAGCCTGTCACTGCTGCCACCGCCCCCCCGCTGCCACCCCTCGGCACGGGGCCTGCTGCTCTCCCAAGGGCACGGCAGCAGAAAACCCTTAAATGCCAAGATTTTCCCAAATTGCTCACTATTTAATTTTTTTTTCCTTCCTTTAAGTGTGGTTTTTTTTTTTTTTTTCCTCAGCAGCACCCAACTCCCCACGCCTCTGAGGTCAAAAACCGTGTCCCCAGCCAGCAAGGTGGGAGCTCTCTGCGATGCTCTGCTGGAGAGCAGACCTATTCTTCTCTCAGGCTTTTTAAAACTTACAACACTCAAAACACAGTGTACTTTTTTTTTTAAGCTGTTGCAGATGTGATGCCTGATCTTCTCTGTCTGATTGCAATGAGCAGGACCTGGCTCGTCCCATCCGTGGCGATGGCTTCTCCGTGTTCCTTTGCGGCTGTTTGCATAGGCTCAGAACCGTGTATGCCCAGGCTCCTCCTTACGTGGCGTTGTCTGTCCAGCAAGCCTGTCAGCTGCAGACTGAGGTGCCGGCAGGTCTGTTGCCGGTGTTTGATCAAGTTGGGCTGGAGTTTGCAAAAGCAACTTCCAACTTGCCCCGACCTGAGAGCAGAAGTGGCCGAAAGCCTTGAGCCTGGGTCTCGTTCCTCCGATGTGTGGATGCTTGTCAGTGGGAGAAATAGTGCCCTTTCAACTTCAACATGTGCCTGCTTTGCTGAATAACCCAGCCTTGTCCTACTCTGCCTTAAAAACAGCTCTGCGGAAAGCTCGCCAGGATTTGTACGGACCAGCTCAGAGTTCTTCCCGGAGTTGGGGAATGCCGTGTTCCTCTCTCTGACTCTCCTTGCAGCTCCTGGGGCTTCATGGTCGCAGCAGGCTCTTCTGCGGGATGAAATTGGGTCCTGTCTTTTAGAAGGAGGTCAGAGCGCTTTTCCCAGAACAACTGTCTCGGGAAGGTGCAGGTTTTTACCTTCACAATGGCACGATGGGCTGCACGGACCGTGACTGGTCAAGCACACGTTTGTTGATGAAAGATGACTGCTGAAATTTAAAAGCGGTAACAGAATCCTCTTACCTTATGTCTGCTGCTTGCAGCTGGCCTTCCAAAGGATTTCCCTTTGATTCCCTGCTCATCAGAGCCTTTTTCTCCAACCAGCTGACAGTAATCTCTCTGTGCAGCAGACACAAAGCTGGGGGGCTGGCGGAGCCTCCGACAGTAAAGACTTTTCTTCTGAGCAGTTTCACAAAACATCTGCCTCTGGGACAAGGAAAAGGAGTAAGTGATCTCCAGAAAACTCCTCTAGATGACACCTCACACTTATCTACTTCCCCCTCAGCCTTAGTTGGTTTTCTTGAGCAAACCTGTGTTCCTCTGTGCCTCTTTACGTTGCTTTTAGTGATAGAAATACTGACCTGCGTGTTGTCGGGAGTTCTTCTTTCTCCTCCTCGTCAGGAGGAAGCAGCCAGGCAGCAACCATCTCCCTCCCCATCTTGCCCCACTGCCTGCGGGCTGTGAGCGGTTCTAGCTCTGTTTCTGTTTGTCTAGACCAAATGATGAAGAAGGACCTGTCTGCTCACAGAACTACTCAAACAAGAACTGCGGTGTCCGTAGGCACCGGCAGCACGGCCACACCAGTCTGCCATTTGCTAGCACCAAAGCAGGCATCTCAAATCCCCTCTTGCCACCAACGCTCGCGTGTTCAGCATTTTTAGGGTGTGAAGGAGGGGGAGCATTCCTGTGCCTTGGTCCCTTCCTGAAAACCTACCTAGAAACCTTCTTTTGCTCCTGTAGATCAAGCTTCTCATCTGTGGCAAAAGCTTGTGTTGAGGAGCATTGCTGGGGTTAACAGGGGTGACAGCAAGAGTGGCCACATTGACCTGGGGCAGCTGTGAAAGGCTTGGTTGTGTTTTCTATGACTAGTAGGAGAATAATCTCGTTGTTGAGGAGTAAAGCCTTGCAAATTTTGTTTTGAACAGGAGCTAAAGAAAAGGACCAATTAAAATCCTTGATAAGCTGGAGAAACAGCTGGTGGTAAAGGACAGATGTGGTTAACAGATTTCCCCTGAAATTCTTAGAGAAACTTGTCTGTGCCCTGACTTATCCAGGAGAAAATCATACTCTGCAGTCGAACAAGGAAAAAAAAAAAGCCTTCAGAAACCCTCCGTTCTGGTCACAGCAAGATCAGCTACTTTGAAAAAGCTACGGCAGAGTTTGAGGAGGTTTTGGCTTGCTGTGAGAAAGGGCTTTTCTGAAAAAGAATATTTCAATATTCCTTTGCAAAAGCAAAGGAAGCAGAGTGGATGCCTGTTGGGTCAGCTGGGGGAGTGAAGTGCTCTTCACCTGTGTGCCGGCGGCTGCTGGAGGGGATGCTCGCACCCCAGAGCCCTGATGGGGTCTCTGCTCTGGAGCACGTGGGGGCAGCCTGCCTGCCCTCTGGCAGGTTGGATGTACTTGCCTCTGCCATAGACTCAGCCCTCACCTGAGACCAGCTGGTGGCTGTGAAGATTCAAGAAAAGACTAAATTAAGCTTGCAGTGGCAAGGTATGAGTTTTAGATCCTTGAATACGAAAGGAGTAGAGCTGGGAGCAAATATTAATTGGTCGGGCTCTGTGCTTTGCTGCTCGTCAGGATTTCTCCACAGCATCTCTCGGGTATCTGCAGCAATGGGACTGATCCAGCAAGGCTCTGCTGTGCAGGGAGCATCTGCCTTCTCGGCTGCTTTCCTGACTATTCTATGATTCTCTGAGAAGACCAGGAGCGGTTGACACAGGAGAGCTCTTTGACCCTTTCCACCTCTCATTTTTGGTAAGGAAGGCGTACGGCAGCTCTTCTCAACCCGGACACCCTTGCTGCTCCTATTCCTTTTTCTCAGCTTCCTCCCTGGGTGTTTTTTGGCAGGAAGGCCACTCCAGGATACATTACCACATGTGCCCGTGGAAAGCCTTCCCTTTGGTCCTGACTGGACCTGGAGGTAGGACAAACAACATTGCTTTTATCTGTGCCCCCCAGACTCTTCCCCAGAGCTCTTCCCAGCTCACACCATGTTTCCAGCGTGGTCTCTGACCTCATGTTCCTCCTGACTCGGTCGATAGCTGTATCTGTTCTCTCTGGGGCTGGCAGTGGTGGGCTTGAGGCTGAAGCCGGCGGGACTCGTCCCGCCTTGCTCAGGAGGGAGCAGTGAGGAGCTTTCCCCTTCCCCAAGCAGCAGCCGGCAGAGAGAGGGGATGTCTTTCACTGCTTCTGGGCTGAGGAAACACATTTCTGCTTCCTTAATGGTGATGGCAGCTTAGAGTCGGACGTTGGCTTTTCTGTGGATTTACAGAGAGGAGAACAGATGTGCAATATCTATCCTGTAAATGCTGGATTGTTCAGTAAGATAATCCTCCTCTCTGAGCACCAGGGCAGAGGCAGTAGGGTGGTGAGAGGCACAGCATCTGGCTGCAGTGTTCTCCATGTCTCCCCTGATCCACGAGGACAGGACCGTAGATCTTCCTGCTGAGAGAGGTTTGTTTCTACAAGGACCAAACATGCTGCAGAGGGTAGGACAGAGAAACCGCTAATGTGATGCCCCTCTAACACATTAGGGACGCGGGTAGTGCTCGATGGGGACTGAGTAGGGAACTTTGAAGATGCTCCCGCTGCAGGAGTGTGAAGGCTGACGAGTAAAAGCTGGGGCTGCCCCATGCTTGGGCTGAGCTCGGAGGTGGCTCATAGTGTGGGGAAGGGAGCAGGAAAGGCTTTGAGACAGAAGAGACATAGGATCCAGTAACAGGTGGATCTGCGAGCCTCCATCTTCTAGTGAGCGTTGACAAGTGAGCTGGAGGCGTGTCTGGGATCCAGGAGGAATATCCATTTAGATCCACAGTAATTTGCTCTCTCACCCCCTGCCCCCCCCCCCCCCCACCCTGGC